AATGGAATTTTATGCAGCCATGAAGAACAACGAAATGTTATCATTCACTGGCAAATGGATGGAATTGGAGAACATCATCCTGAGTGAGGTTAGCCTGGCCCAAAAGACCAAAAATCGTATGTTCTCCCTCATATGTGGACATTAGATCAAGGGCAAACACAACAAGGGATTGGACTATGAGCACATGATAAAAGCGAGAGCACACAAGGGAGGGTGAGGATAGGTAAGACACCTAAAAATTAGCTAGCATTTGTTGCCCTTAACACAGAGAAACTAAAGCAGATACCTTAAAAGCAACTGAGGCCAATAGGAAAAGGGGAGCAGGAACTAGAGAAAAGGTGAGATCAAAAAGAATTAACCTAGAAGGTAACACCCACGCACAGGAAATCAATGTGAGTCAACTCCCTGGATAGCTATCCTTATCTCAACCAGCAAAAACCCTTGTTCCTTCCTATTATTGCTTATACTCTCTCTTCAACAAAATTAGAAATAAGGGCAAAATAGTTTCTGCTGGGTATTGAGGGGTTGGGGGGGAGAGGAAGGGGGTGAAGTGGGTGGTAAGGGAGGGTGTGGGGGCAGGGGGGAGAAATAACCCAAGCCTTGTATGCACATATGAATAATAAAACAATAAAAAAAGATCCTCTGAGTAGAGTTTGCATTTGATAGTACTGATACCTTAGCATAAAGAATTTAATCATCTTCAGTAAAATTTGAAATAAGAGCATGTTGAGGTAGTCATCTCAGGGCCAGGATGCCTCTCTAGCCTCTGAAATCACTATTGCTTGGCCTATGAATTACTGCAGCCCCACTCAGAAGATCCTACAAGCTTTTTACAAAATATTCCATTCCATTGCCACTTGCAGTAAAATTGTATACCTGAAACTACATTTCCAATGACCTGTGTTAGGAAAAAAAGGAACAGCTCAGCAAATATTTCAGAATATAACCTTGCTCTTCACCTTCATCTTCCTTTCCCTCCCCTTCCCTTCTATTCCCAAATAATTTGTCTAAAATCCATTAGGTAGCACCAAGCAAGGTAGGTAGGGACAAGACATCCCAGCACAGGATATGGGAGCCCAAGCTGACTGAGAAGAGAGTGTCCATGCATTGTGAGAGCAAGAGGTCAGAGGTGGTGACAGAATGCTGGCTACATACAGGAGAATGGGCCAAATATGTAAATATGTTGAGGATAGTAGAAGCTGGGTTTCTCACAGCTAGAAAAAACTAGAATGAATCCTATAGTTTAGCACTGAAATTGGAAATGTGAGTGTGAAGCCATACGTTTTTAAAATATAGAGAAATACAGATGTTTATATGTACACATATTTGTTTGTGTATACACTTATAAACATTATTGATTTCTGTAATAACACTCAGAGTAATAACACTCCAATACTACCGAGTTCACCTGTTGCCCAGTCTTGTAATTGTCGGTTTGTTTGTTTTTTTTAATAGTTGGTATTGTGGTGTTGTTTGCTTGGTTAGGTTTATTTGGCAGTTCTGGGAATTCAAACCAAAGCCTCAAGCTCGCAACTACTTTACCACCTCCAAGTCCTTTCGTTTGTAGTGTGTGTTTCAGATAGTGTGTCACATTAACTTTGCCCAGGGTTGGCCTCGAACTAAGATCCTCCTTCATCCACCTTCCAGTAGCTGAGATTACAGGCATGTACCACCACACCTATCCTTAGATCTCATTTTTTTTAAATACTATTTTGCACTGAGAAAAATAGGATTCTTTGAAAAAAATGTGGCTGATTCTAGGGATGGGGAAGGAAACATAAGAGATGAGCTAGGAATATCACATAACTTTCAGAAAGTAGAGAAGTAAGGACATGTCAAAAGGACACAACAGTCAGCCTGAAGGTGCTCTTGCTAGCCATGTCAAGAAAAAAACATTGAACATCAGAGTAACAATAATGATAATAATGAATTACAGTTCATTAAGAAAAATTAGGAATCTCTAAGTAAGTCCACACTGGAAACAAATTAATAAATGGTGGTTTTGTGAGGTTCAGGACATTTGCATAGCCATAAAAGAATGCCCCCACACAAATATTTGTTAATTATAAAGTATGAGTCATTTTAAAAAAATGAAAAAAACTAGCAAACACCATCCCAATCAAGTGAGGCAGATGAATATAATCCATAACAGGTCAAATCAAACTGGCTGCCTGGTAGGGTGCAATGAGAGGTACACAGCATCACTCTGTGATGTTGCTGCCAGCAATGCATAATCTGAAAAAACTGCTGTCCCTCAAACTAAGGAACATTCTATAAAATAACTGGCCTGTAATTGAAACTGTCAAGACCAGGAAAACCACAGCAAGACTGAGGAACAATTCCTAACTGGAAAATGACAACTAAGTGAACAAATTATTTTCGGATGGATTGGGTTGGAAATAAAAGAATTGTGTTAATCTCCTTGTTTCTTTAGCTTTGCCATGGTCACAGAGGATAATATTTTCATCCTCTCTTGTAGGAAACAAGTACACATTAAAAGTCTGGGGTGGTAAAGAATCAGGGTGGTAAGCTACTTTAAAATAATCAGGGCGCGAATAGTTTTTTGCACTGTTTGCAATGTTTCTGTGAGTTTAAGACTACTTTCATAACAAAAAGTGAAAAATTCTATCTAATTCAAGTTTTGCATTACCTACCACTCATATAATTGAAAGTTTTTTCTTTTTAGTGGTACTGGACTTTGATCTCTGGGCCTTATGCTTGCTAGGCAGGTACTCTACCACTTAAGCCACTCCACCAGTATTTTTTTGTATGAGTTTTTTTGAGACAGGGTCTCACTATTTGCCCAGTCTGGCTTCCAACCATGATCTTCCTGATCTCTGCCTCCTGAGCAAATAGGATTACAGGTATGAACCACTGGCACCCAGATTTCTCATTTTCTTTATTGTGGTTGAATCCTGTTTAAATTATAATAAAAATGCTTAACAAACATAAATCCGATACATATTGTGGAAAAAAAAGAGATCTACAGTAGTACATATAATTCTAATTAAGAGAACAGAATAACAATTTTAAAACACAGACCTTTTGCCTCTAAAATACATATAAATAAGCAGACAACTGTCAAAGAACTCAGTGCTATGCAGACTTTCTAGTCCACTAAGGTGCCATCTGTGGTACAGCATGGATGCAAAACTGCAGCAGAAACTGGAATTCTCACATGGTATTAGGACCCTGTCCTTCACTCCCCTCCAGACTCAGCAACTTACATTCTCTGAGGCGACAGACATCTCTCCCTAACTAGAATGCTTTACAGCATACCTTTCCCAACTACAGAAATGCCTTCCCATTCAATACTGATGTTTCTGAAACTATTAGAACTTCTAGTTATAAAAGTAAGATGTAGTAAATATTCCTTTAAGAAAAAAAATTTTCAAGACATAATGTATTTTACTTGTTGGATTAACATAGAGTACATTTGATTTCCAGCAGAACAATAATTGCCAAAGATAACAAATATTTTTTAACATCCAAATTCATTAAATATTTACTGAATTCTGCCAGGCGTCAAGCAAGACTCTGAGAGATAAAAAATGACCGAGGTGTCATTGTCTAATCTTCAAGAGCTCCTCTTACACAACAGCAGACATCACTGTTAACACAACTTACTGATATTTTATTGTTCTATTAGGAGAATACTATAGAATATTTTCAACTGTTAAAATTTACGTTTTGAGAAAGAGTTGCCTGAAACAAATGATCAAAATCAAGAAACCCAGGTGACCCTCTCTCAAGAGATGACAGAAGTAGACCACATGTTCAAGTCTTAAATGCGATTATTAAGTTAATAGTTAGTGTCACTCCATAACAGAAAGGGCAAAAGGAACACTGCCCCCATCCTCCTTCACCAAAAGCAAACAAATGAACACACACACACACACACACACACAAATAAAATCCAAGAAAGAATAGGTTAAAACATCAAGCACAGGTAAAATATCAAGCGCCATCTTACAAAATCACGTAAGAGACTGAGGAACATATACTAAAAGAGAAATGAACTCTGCTGCGGAAAGGATTGAAGGATTTATGGACCAAGAGTCTGCTTATATGAGACTCAAGAAATTTTTCACCAGTGGACAGAAAAATGACCCACACATAATTGATCCTTGATGTGTTGTCAAGACACAGGGCAAAAGGAGGAAAGCCATTCATCACACTCACAGGCAGCGGCACCTGTACTGGTACTGGGTAATCTGTTACTTTCAAACCATGTTAATACCATAATTTGGCAAACCTCATATGTAGTTCATGATTAACATTACCAAGTGAATATGTTATATGGTGTAAGTCATTAATGTATAAAGAACTGTTGAGATCCTGAGGAATTTCTCATGAAAATTTCATGGGTTATCTTTGAACTGTGGAGTACACACATTAAGTTGCTATACCCACTCCCTAAAAATCTCATACTTTACAATGCATTAAAAGTATTGCACAAGGAGAACCAGCAACATAATCATAGCAAAAATTCACTTTAAAAGTAAATCATACTGTTTACACATGTAGGTAAATGGAAAAATGATACCTGTTGAAACTATTCCAGGAATGGTGTGTTGGGGGAGATAAGGGTGAATGATGGAGGAAGTGAATTCAAGTATGATATAGTGTAAGAACATTTGTAAATGCCACACAGAACCCCCACCCAGCACAACAAAAAAAAGGAAATATCAACTTTCAATGAATTTGAATGATATCAAAACAATAAGAAGAATGGGGTTTTTTTTAGAACAAGTTTTCATAATCCTATCATTCTGGAAGTGAACTTGAATTTTTCATCAAACATTGTTGAGAGATGAACAAGTTAGAATAGTGAGCACATTCTGAGGTTCTTGAAGCCAGTCATGTTTTCATGAGAGTTGAAGCAGATATAGTTCATGGGATTTAATAAATATTAAATAATGTTTACTGCTTAAATATCCATGAGTGCAAATCAAGGACAGATGACCTGAGTTCATTTAATTTAAACAGATCTGGTTTTCTTTGTGGTACTGAAGCTGATAGTAAAATGGTGTCCATAAATTTGAATTCTAGAAAAGAATTGTTAGTAGGAATTTTTTGTGTTTTGTTTTGTTTTCTGTCTCTCCACATTCAAGTTTGGGGTGACCCACTGGTGACAACGGTTAATGGAAAGAGGCTCTCACTTTACGGCCCTTTAGGGGCTGTGGTGGGCGGTGATTGCTCAACAGAAATGCTGCTGCTTCACCCTCTGCAGTACACAGGAGGCTGCGGAATTTGGCCAGCTGTTGAAGAAAAGAACAGTGTTAGTTTCAGCATAGAAAGTCACCCCAATACTAATGAACTGCCTAGTAAAATTAAGGAACTTATAACTTTACTTCTATCAGGAACTAAAAATTTGCAATATAAATTTTCAAAGTTATGGCTCATACCTTATAAAGAATTCTGTTAAATTCTCTTCACTACACAAATAACTCTGGCTCCAAAATTGAGTATACAAACATTCATTTGAAGATCAAAGTTATAAAAGGAAACTCTTAGGATGTGGTTTTAAGAGTACACATCTGGAAATCAGAGAATACTTTTTATGCACACATATACACACAGCTTACCTGTTTTATCACAAAAATGGGCTCCAGGGTCCATGGTATTTTGAAACTTGATTTTTCTACTTAATATATATCCAAGGCATTTTTGATTATCAAAGATAATTTTATGTGATTTTTAATTGGTAGAAAAATCTACTAAAAATATGTTGCTCTATTATAAGTATGTTTTATAAAATTCTAATAATTTCTTTATTATTTAATATTATTTATTAAGATTTATCACAAGTCTACAGCAGTAAAATAAAGATTGGCTACATTCTAGCTTCTCGATAATGTTCCTCAAAATACTACCAATGAATACAAGTTTTGGGGGTTTGCTTTTTTGTTATGTTTTGATAGGGACGAGTTAGTAAATTATTAGGAATGACAACCTCCCTTCTCTAAACTTTTCTCGTCACCTAATCTTCCTAATCTGAGTCAAGCAAATGTGGACCAAGAAACATCAGTTAGGTTTCCATCATCATTTACCTAAGGCCTAAAATATTTCTTGTACAGTATTAACCAGAATGGGAGGCATAGGGCAAAAGGTTCTCAATAATAAATGGCAAGGACTGATAACCATACCCTATGGTGGTAGGACCATCCACCATGTGCAAGCAACTGTATTCTCACAAGTGATATTTCGTGGCGTCTTTTTTTCTTTTTTCTTTCTTTTTTTTTTTTTTTTTTTTTTTTAGCAGTACTGGGAACTGAACTCAGGGGCCTTGAGCCACACCTCCAGCCCTTTTCTCTTTGGTTATTTTTTGGATATGGTCTTGCACTTCAATCTTCCTGTTCCCACCTCCCAAGTAGCTAGGATTACAGGCGTGAGCCATTGCAACTGGCCTCGAAGTGTCTTTTCAAAGAGGCTACATAAAAGGCGCATGAGACAAATGGTTATAACTTAATATTAGTCATGTTTTATTGCACTAGATCATTACAGCCAAAACTAAACAAGACTTAAGAGAATCTGTGGTATAGCAAAGGCTAATAAAATCTAATCTCTGGGGAAACACCCAGTCTTCTGCATATCAGAAGCGTGTGGAGAGGGCATTTCAGGTGGTTGTGCAGGAATGCAGAGTCCCACATCAAGGCGCTGTACCACCAGACTCTCTGAGCTTCTCCAAGCACAACAGCCTCCCCAGTTACACCAGTGATTTTTTGGAATTCTTTGGCTTTATTTTCTTTCATACACACACACACACACACACACACACACACACACACACACCATTCAACTCTTCTAGAAGTTGATCATGGCTCCATACTTTTGCACCAGTTTAGCTTCATTGGCTTAGAACTGAATGTTACTTTGGATCTTTCTTTGGCCAGCCTGGTTATTTTGGAAAGAGTCCCTAAACTTGTCTGATCAAACTCCTCCCCTTTATGGCTCTCCCCATTCCTTGCCTCAGATAGGTAGGCCCTATACCTGTTGACCTCAGCTCAGACTTGTTTCTTTTGGTTCCTTGTCCTCCTCTGACTGGCTCTAGCCCGGCTAATCTGCTTGGAGAGCCACAGGTTCATTTTGGCAGAAAAGTGCCCCTCTGTCACTAAGGCTGACTCAGCATCTACATGTTCCTGGCAGGTGCGTCCCCAGTTCAGCCTGGTGGCTGAGGTGGGTGTGACCTGCTTTGTTGGTTTCCTTGGCTCTAATACTGAAATTTTAATTTCATCATGTACCAACCCTTGTAACATGAAATATTCTTTTCCAAAGCTTTTGTAAATAATTTTATCTCACACTTATGCTCAACCATCTTTAATAGCAATCCACTGCCTGACAAAAATGAGTAACAATATATAAAAACTGTCTTCTATAATGTGGAGATCCAGATATAATGCTCATATCCTCTAGAATACAGTAAAAAAAATTACTCAGCATATACAGAATCAAGAAAATAGATCACATTCTCAATGAGAGAAAAATCAACAGAATCCACCCTAAGGTTGATCAGATATTGAAACTTAAAAGGATTTTAAAGTGGCTATGTGTACCCCACATAACTACACAAAGGTTATATGAAGTTAATCATAGCATCTTTTTAATGCACAAGAAAGTTCAGCAAGGTAATGAGAAGACTCAACAAAGAAATAAAAATAATGAGAGACCCAACTAGAAATTTTAGAACTAAGAAATATATCTTCTAAACTAAAAAAGTTGACTGGATAGACTTATCAACCAAACTGACATGACAGAGGAAAGAGCAAATGAACTTAAATACACATCAATAGAAAATATTTATGGTGAAGAGGGATATTTAAAAAAAATTTTTAAATCAGAGTCTTCAGGACCCGCTACATAATATTAAAAGGTCTAATGTATGTGCAGTTGGAATTTTGGAAGGAAAGAAGGGAGCAAATGAGGTACAGCACACACAAAAATTAATAGAAAAGTAATCAAAGAAATAAATTTAAAAGCTAAAACTATTACTCAAAGTAGAAAAAATATGGCTTATTGTTAAATGAAGCCTTCCTACTAAAATAGTACAGAAAAAAGTGCAAACTTTAAAAGATAAATTGATAAAATGTATGTTATGGTTTGGATCTAAATGTTTCCCCAAAGGCTCATGTGTTGAAGGTTTTGTCCCTGACTTAGCAATGTTCAGCAGTGCTCACTTTGGGGAAGTAATTAGATCATGAGGGTTCTGACTTCATCAATTGATTAATCCACTGATAGGTTCATAATTGGATGAGCTATTAAGAAGTGATGGAACTAGTTGAAGGGAGTGGGTCCTTGGAGACATGCACTTGGGGGCTGCATCTTGTCCTCAGCCCTCTCCTCTCATTCTCTCTAGTGTCCCAACATCCATGAGTTTAGCATCTGTGCTCCACAACACTCTCCATTATGATGCTCTGCCACACCTCAGGCCCAAAATGATGAAATCAAGTGTCCATGGACTGAAACTGTGAGCCAAAACAAACTTTTCCTCCTTTTTAGGTAACTTTCCCAGGTATTTTGATGCAAAGACAGGAATCTAACTAACACAATATACTTCATCATGATTAAGAACTTTTGCTGAGGGCATAGCTTAAATGATAAAGTACTTGCAATAGTATATATGAGGCCCTGGGTTCAAAGCCTAGTACTTCCCCAAAAAATTTCTAAGAATTTTTTGTCTTCAAAAGACATAACAACAAAAAAAGGCAGACCATACATAGGGAGAAACCCTTGCAAAGCATGTATTAGAAAAAATTTTATCCAGACTACATAAAAAACATTTGAAACTCAATAGCGAGAAGACAAACAAAACAATTTTTAAATGGGCAAATAATGTGAACAAATACTTCACAAAAGAAAATACATGCACAGTCAATATGCATATTAAAAAATGTTCAACATCACTAGTTATCAGAAAATGCACACATACCCACTAGAGTAGCTAAACTAGAGAAACTGACAGTACCAAATGCTAGCCAGAATATGGAGTAACTAGAAACCTGATAAATTGCTGGTGAAAATGTAAGGTAGCACAGTCACTTTGGAAAGCAGTATTGCAGCACCTTGTAAAATTAAACATGCATGACCTAGTAATTCCAGTCCTATGTATCAGCCCAAGACATATAAAAATGTGTTCATACTAGTGTGTATATGAATTATGCCTAATATCCAAATATGAATCACTATTATTCCTAATAGCCCCAAACTGAAAACAACCCAAATATCCTTCAATTGTTGAATGTTTTAATGTAATATATCCATACCATGGAACCTGTCAGTAACACCAATAAATGAAATGGTGAAGCTTGAAAACATTATATTAAGTAAAATAAGTCAAATGCAAAAACCTACTTACTGTATAATTAATTTAATTAAAATTCTAGAAAAGACAAAATTCTACTGGCAGCACTCTACTTCAGAGGTTACTCTGGGCTATGAGAGGAAGGGGTGAAAGGCAGAAGTGCACAGAAAATGTTTTGAACAAGAGATCTGTACCTTGAATATGGTGGTTGTTGCATGGTTGTACACAATCTCCCAAAACAGCAATCACACACTAATAATTTGTGAATTTTCTGGTATGTAAATAAGGCCATAATAAATGAAAAAATGAATTTTCTAAAGGAAAATAGAATCAGAGCCAAGTCTTTTGCACATTGAATTTCAGCAGTTGGATAAATCAATTTAGATAATTTAGGGTAACCCAAAAAAAGTTGACAAGAAAAGTTAGCCTTCCAAAGAAAATGACAGATCTATTATAAAATGCATCAAAAGTAGTATATCTGCTCAATGGTGCGCTGCTAAATCAAGAATTCAGTACTCACTGAGTGACCCTGAAGGAAAAAATGAATTAAGGAAAAGAAAATTTAAAATCATCCAATTTTCTCTCTAGGTCAACTAGTGACTTGGCAAGCACTAGCAATTAAAAAAAACCCTACAAGAAAACCCAGCACCAACTCAAGAGGATTTAGTCTTCAGAGCTGGTGACATTACATAATGGAATTGAAAAATTGATAAAGACAATATTTCTCAAAGACTTAAAAAATAGCTGCCAAATTTGATATTGAAAAATATCTTTTGGAAAGTAACTCTAAGTCAGCAATAGAGGACATTTTAATTTAAATTTATATAAAAAAGCTAAGCAACTAATATTTTATCAATCTGCATATTTCATACTCTATATGTACTTTTATTACAGAACAATTTTAACCTTGAAGAATTACTACAATGATACCACAAATAGTGCCCATATACCTTTCCAGACTTTCCACAACTTATGAACCGATATTAATATGTTGTCATCATAAAAGCCCTTTCTTTATTCAGTTGCCTTTGTTTTTGCCTAGTGTCTTTTCCTGTTTCTGGATCCCATGCAGCAAACAACATTACACTTAGTGGTCACATCAGCTTAGGTATTTCTTTTCTCTTCTTTTGCCCACACTGGGGATTGAACTCAGGGCCTCAAACTTGGTAGGCAAGTGCTATACCACTGCAGCCACACCCCAGTTCTTTTGCTTTTAGTTTGTTTTTCTGATAGAGTCTTGCAGAAGCCTCAGACCAAGATCTTCCTATCTCAGTCTCCCAAGTGTCTGGGGTTACAGACATGCACCAGCATGCTTGGTCCCTCATTAAGCATTTCTTGGTTGTGATTTTTCTCAGAATTACATTGCTTTTTATAATCTTGAAAGTTTTAAGGACTGCTGATTAGGTTTTTTATAGAATGTCCCTCAATTGTACTTTGTCTTATATTTTTCTCATGGTTAGACTGGAATGGATTTTTAAAGTAACTTTTCCTTCATTTTTAACTCTTAAAGCTACCATAATATTATAGTATAATAATTTGAATTATTACCAACATCCTTCTCAATCTGTTTAAAAATTAAAATGTTTGAAAGTATTCCTGCTGCAATTGATTTAAGTTAATGCTTCACAGTGAATTATCCATCACACTAGAACTCTGAAACAAAGCTGTTCTTTCCTATACTCTCTTGCATAAAAAAAAAAAAAATCACACTAATATTAGTTCAAATAGATATTAGTTCAAATAGATCTGTCATTTTCTTTGGAAGAAAATGTATTCAAATAAATACAGTATTGTCTTCACTGCTTAGCAGTTATAATTTCTAAACATGAATGCAGTTATTTTTAATAAAGTTAATTTTATTCTTTTTTTCATTATGACATTTCCATGTATATCCCAAATTGGTTCATTCCTTCCATTTAACTTTATTCTTTAAAAGGAATTAAATTATATATTTTAGTATATTCTCAAATCACTGGTAGACTGAACAAACCAAGCTAGAACAACAACAAAGTTATTTTCTAAGTGGATTTAAGAAATAAAGACATCCTTAAAATATGAAGGAAAACATGATCCCCTTATAATTAACCACTAGATGTAATAATTAACACTTACTATTGAGCTGTTGAAATGTAATAAGAGGGTATAAAAGGAAACATTTTAACATGTGAAAGGAAGAAAAATAAACTCCATTAATAAGGCCAATGAAATAGTAGTAGGTTTTTTTTTTTTTCATGATACAACAATGGAAAGAAATTCAACAAGAGTTTTCCCATCAGTCAAGCTCTGGATTCTATCCAGACTTTCATTAAATATTTTAAGAACTATAACCCCAAGTTATTATTTGTCTGTAATCCTAAAAACAAGGTCAATAAGGAGAAAACACCCAACAGAAAGTTGAATGTGTTCACCCCAAGAAGAACTGACCTTGGTAAAGGGAAACTAGTCCTAATCTGACTGGAGTGGGGTGGAGAATAAACAGCTGGGCAGATGGACAACCCTGGAGCAGGAAGGAGCAGTTTATTAGCTTCAAAAATAACTAGACTGTGTTCCTGATGAAACACTGCAGCATCTAATAAAAAATGACCACAAAACAAAGACATTAAGACATAGCATCCCACAGCACAGTTCAGTTGAACAGTCCAGAAATCCCATAGTTTCTGGGCTCTAGGATATCCTGGGTCTATAGACTGCTTGGCCTACCCTAGGAGCTCAATAAGTAGTTAACAGAAAAATGAAGTGCTAGAGGACTGATTCAGTGATCAAGTGCTGGCCTAGCATGCTTGAGCCCCTGGCTTCAATCCCTAGCACTGCAAAAATAAATAAATATTTAAAAAGAAAAAATGAGTGAGTAAATGTCTTAGCCACAGAAGACATCAGTGGCTATCCCACAGCCTCTCAGTAAATACTTAAAAGCCTCTCAGGTAGCCCCATGAAAGTTTTGTCAACAAAAGCCGAAATTCAACTTTTTTGTGTGCTATAGTAAAAACACTTTACACAAGATCTACCCTCCTGAATTTTTCACTGCATTATAATGACCTCTTAAACTTGAGTGGTACGTACATTTCTTAGACAACTACTCCTATCAGTGATCTCAATGTTCACCTCAAAATTTGGGGAAGATGCAGTCTAAAGATGAGGGGAGAAAGGAGAATGTCGCCTTCTGTGAGTAACCTCTCTCCTGATTTTTTCTGTTTGTCTCAAAAGACCAAACAGAGAGAGAGAGAGAGAGAGAGAGGAAGAGGGAGAGACAGAAAGGAGGGAGGAAGAGGGAGGCAGGAATGGAGGAAGGGAGGAAGGGAAGAAGGGAGGAAGGGGGAAAAAAGGAAGGAAGGAAAGGGAAACAAAGAGAAAAAAAGTGACACAAATATCTAGTCCAATCACCCATCTGACTAATTAAGGGAAAACTCAGACTTCATAACATGGCAGAAATTATAGGCAGGGTTTCTTGAGAAAGAGAAAGAGAGAGAATGAGAAAGAAAGAGAGATGTTGGGGAGAAAGATTTGGCATGCTTCGTTGTGAGTGAATAAGAATCAACCTGTAAGAAGTTACCAACCTGTTGAGAGCTGATATTTATAGGTTGTTTTAAAACGATCCATGTGACACTCTCTAGAAGAGGTGGAACCGTCAAAGAGCCAGGATACGTCCAGTAGTCCCAGGATGGTGGAAGCAGAGATAATGGGTCAAAATTTGTGAATCTAGTTTGTTTACCCTGGGAAAAAAAAGAATTCCAACAGATTATAATGGGATGACTTAGCACATAAAGACATGCATCCAATGAAATACTACACAATTATTTAATATCTTCTTTTATTACTTTGGTATCTTAAAAGAAATTATCTACCTTCATCTAAAAAATATTAGATAAAATAGCACATTTGAGAAGCACACGAGGACCAGGCATAGTGGCACTGTAATCTCAGCATTCAGGAAGAAGAGGCAGGAAGATTTTGAGTTCAAGATCACTCTGGACTATATAGCAAGATGCTGGCTTGAGCACACAGACATATAGACACACACACACATATTTGTTTTTATATAAGTCCTTAAAATGTGTTATAATCAAAAACTTATTCTATAAAACTATAATGCCAGAAAGCAACTATACATAAATGCATTTATTAGTAATTATCTAAGATAATAGCAGACCCTTCATAACTTTTAAAAGATAAGTAATTATAAGTTACTTCTGTTTCTTTTGGACAAGAATGTTGCAAATTTGTTTCAAAACAGACAGCATATTCTATATCTAAAGTGTAAGTCTTTAAAAAACGATGAGAGAATTCAGGAGGGAAGGAAGATGTTAGTCATTAGCAAAGAGAAATTCATTTAACCTTTTCTTTAATGGAATCCAAAATGTCCGTGATTTTTTGCAGTTGCAAATTGTGTTCACCAGTCTAAAAATAAGAAATTTCAAAAGAAATGGTTAGGTAGCAAATCAAGTGTGGATCACTCCATTTCACTCACTATTTAAAATTTTTTTTTCTACAAACTTAAGCCAGCACCTTTGTTCTAGAGCAAAGTTTCTCTTCTACCTGATAGCCTGATCTTCCCAGAAGACTCTAAACAAGAAAATACAACAGGGTTCCTGTACTGAACTTCAAGTTTGGTTCCAAAATTGGTAGTAACATTTTCACTTTGTTCAGACTTATGAATGTTTAAGCCATAGGTTAACTTGCAAGAACCTTGCTTAGGAAACTCTAACAAAAGCCTACATTATTAAGCCAGCTATAACATTTAGATCCTTCATCCAAACTGTCTATGGTGGTAGCAAATACAGATGAAAACATCTCCCACTTGTAGCCTAAAATCATTTGAGATCCTAAATCAAGCAAATATACCTTTACGAGCAAGTGTATCAGAAATATATAAATGGAAATAAGTATCTTTTCATTATTGTTTTTATATTATGTTCAGAATCTACCAATGGTTTTAAACCCTTTGTGATTAAAGTATATTTTTTCTTGCCCCACCTACTGCCATCACCCAGACTTGGTGGCCAAAAGACAAGGCTTTCCCTGCCTCTGCTCCATCCACACTCCCTTCCCAATCCCAGTTCCGTGAGTTACAACATCACACACACAGAATGTGGCACAGCAAAAGTACACACCCTACAAGAATGTGGTGTAGTGGGAGTTGAGAGGCCCAACCTGTCCCCAGGTGCAATGACAATACTCTTCTGTTCACATGTGAACATTAGACAAAGAGAAATACAACTTTTTAAAAAAAATTGGTTAGTATGTCAGAAACAACATGCCATTGTAGTCAAACAAGTGCTTCAAGAATCTGAAACTTGAACTTTTCTCAATCTTGTATCTCTAAATATTGAAATCAGGAATCAAGAAGAACCTGGAGTACATGTTTTCTTCTCAGGATTTGTTATTGTTTCTGCTGCTATTCTTCTGGTTGTTGATGCTGCTGCTACTATTCCATAAAAATTATCAGTGGACAGTTGGAAGAATCCTAAGACAATGTCCCTAACTTAATATGTAACTTTAAAATACTTACTACAAAGGCAAATACTAAACTTACAACTTGTTTACTATTAAAAACTGGTTGAATACACATTTCCTGAGTGAAACTCTTTATTCAACATGGCTGATTATTTAACATGAAATCAGTGGATTCTCACCTGTAAAAATACTCCCAGGACAGCTAGTCCATCTGGCTCATGAGCTGCTTCTACAAAGCTGGGGTATTTGTCTGAATTCCAATGCACAACATGGAGCTAAAAGGAAAGTACAAAACATAGTTCAAATGTTTGTTTAAGCAGCCTGAAAAACACAAATGCAAATAAAACATTGGTATAGATGTCCTGGCGCTGTATACTCATAAGCATAATGTGTTCTTCATGAAAACTTTAGATACAATCTTCCTATTTACTTTTAAACCAAAAACAGTGAAGGATCATGGTCAATTAGCTGGTGTGTGACATACTATTTTAATAACTGTTTATAATGAATACCCTAGCAAATTATGACCATTGTTCTTAAGTGATTTGGGGGAACCTCTGCCTTCCACCCAGAAGACTGCAATGGAGCAGCCTTAGATCAGACCACAGCTGCCCCCAGAGTGTTCTGAGGAAGCCTGGGCTCCACAGGTGGGTACAGCAGTCAACTTCCTACACAGTGGATTTGCAGGAAAGATGTTGCTGTCAAGGACAGTAAGTTGCTCCTGACACTGTCCATTCAAATGTTTACCACTGTAGCTTCACAGTTGCTTCTTTGTTTGGGCAGGGTCTCACTTATAGCCCAGGCTAGCAAGTACACACACAAGTTGACCTCAAGCCCATGATTCTGTCTCAACCTCCTGAACCACTAGGCCCCCCACTCAGTTTCACACCTTTAATGGCTTGAAAAGGCAAATTCTCCTTATGAGAAACAATTTTAAGAAGTACCTACATATTTTATTATTAGATTATTTTCATGGTCAAATGATATTTGCCTGTTTAGGGGGCACAATGTAAGGTTTTGATGTAGGAATACAATGTGAAATGATTATATTATATCAGGCTAATTGACATATCCCTCACCATACTTACTTATTTTTTTATATATTTACTGCCTTATATAAATATGCTCAGATCTTTTGCTGAGGACAAGTTTTAATGGGGGAAAGAGGCTTTGGGTCTAGGAACCAGAGGTATCTGAGGATGAAAATGAGAGACAGCTGGTGCTACTAGGGGCAGGGAGAAAGAGAAGGAATTCGAGGGACACGGAACTCTAGATAACAGACTTCACCCACTTCACAGCTGCACTCTCATGCAATGCAGTATCCCAAGCACACATACAGGGCTGAAGGGCTACAGAATAATAGTAAACAGAAAACCACTTTTGGAGAGTCTTCAGTCCTGGTTAAGAGAAGCACAAACAGAGAGAAGCCAAAGGGCAATGTGCCACACCCAAAAGATTTAGCTGTGATCATAAAGACCAAGGTCAGGCCACCCTGTCCAAGGACCCAATATGAGGGACTGCCTTCAGATAAGAACTACTAATGAATACTTTTGACACAGGAGGAAGAAAACACTTATGCGGCCTTCATGTCCAAATTTCCCTTCTAGTGATTGTTAGAGAAAATCTAGTGTACTCACATACATATTTTTATTTCTTCCTTCAAATATAACTAAATCTTACAGGCAACTAATATGAAGGAATTTGTGGATAAATAGGAATTATATTAAGCAGTCAACTATAAAGATAGGGCACCACCACACACAACCAAGCAAGACTGTTATCCAAAAGAAAATACAAAGGTAGATTCCTGTAGTGCCATGTTCCTAGTTGGTGTGGGATAGTTGGGGGAGGAAAGAATTGAAAACATTAGATGATAAAACAAGATTCATGAGGCTAGCAGGAGTTAGACGGTGTCCCACTGCCAGGGAGGGGCTGATAAGAGTGTTGAAATCATTTTAAGTGGCTCCATGCCAATTAAAACAACTCAGTAGATAGGCTCACTTAGAAATGACATCAAAGGGTCACAACCACTGACCCTTTAGAAAACTAATGTGTTAATAGAGATACAGTCTTCCTGTACAGAACCATCCTTCTCCTGGTGAAAAAGCAGCAACTATTTGAAATATGCTGAGAAACACGAGCAAGAAAATCTGTTTAAAAAACAAAAACAAGTCCTTTTCTCTCTCCTACACACCTTGCTTAACTGGCAGCAACACCTTCACAGAGGAAAATGGATAGCAGTTTCATTAGCATTTGTACCCGAGTTAAAACAAGCAAATTAGCATGCTCACATTTCCTGACTAACAATAACAGCAGCAGTGATTTGAGCAGAATTGAGGTGTTGTAGCCACTGCAAAAATGGAAATAAGATTCTTCCATATTGGAAAATAACATCATTCAACCTTAGTATTTTAAGTCACGTATTAGTGATATGATTTCAGTCTAGCAAGACAGCATGTCATGGCTAGAGTACGTGGTGGAGGAAAACGACTCACCACATAGCCAGGAAACAAAAAAGAGGAGAGGGGCCTTTGTCCCACTATCCCCTCAAGGGAACACCATCTATGACCTAAGGACCTCCCACAGGCCCCACCTCCCAAAGGTTCTAACCACTTCTCAGTTGCACCACCTTGGAGATCTAGCCTTTAACACATGGGCCTTTGGGGGACATTCAAGAACCAACATATAGCAATTATGGATAAACTGTAATCAGATAAAGCTCCAAACACAGAATGGACAGTTAGCCTAGTTATTATAGACACATAACTCTTGGAATAAAATTTTTCATGATTAGATTTCCTTAATCTCTCTCTGTAATGTCAGAAGTCATTATATTAGGCCCCAAATTAAATTTTTATGTGTTGCTGCTTTAAATAGTTTTTCTTCCTTTCTCTTTCCCTTTCCTGTTCTATAAGATGGACATAACTTAAGCCAAGCACTTAAGAACTTAAGTGCTTAAAAAAATTAGCTAATACTTTGGAATCATTTCTACAGCTGAGCACAAAGGTATTCTTTTGCACCTGAAATATAATGCAAGTGACTTCTAAATCCTGCCATCTCCAGCCCTGGCTTCTTCTTTAAACTCCAGGTTTGTATCTGGCAGTCAACATGAACATGAACTGCAAATGCATAATAGGCCTCTCAAACTGAGTCCAAAAGAGAAAGTTAATTCTTCTTTGCAACCTGCTCCTCTCTGGGCTCACCCATATCAGCAAATGACATGAGCATGTTGCAGGTTGCTCAAGTCAAAATCTCAGGAATGTTTTTTGACTCCTCCATTTCCTTTCTTCAATCTCGACATCCTTTCCATGCACAAGCCCCATTGACTTGACTTGCCAAGAATAACATGGTTTTGTTCAGCTGCCTTCATCTCCACCACCCCATAGACCAAACTGCCATCATTGCTCATTTGAGCTTACTTCCATAATCTTGTAATTTGTCTCCTGCTCCAATGTTCATCCCACACCAGCCTCTTCTCCACATGGCAGCCAGTTATGTTTTATAAAATATAAAGCGGAACATGTCATTGCCCTGCTCAAAACTTTTCATTGTCTTCCCACTACATTAAGAATAAACGCTAAACTGCTCACCATGCACACTACCACCCAATGCATGGTGGCCTCTGCTTGCCATTCTGAGACATAGCCAATACTTTTTTCTCTCTCACTAATTCCAATCCTAAAAATCAACATCTTTCTCCTCTCAAACTTGCCAACTTAATTCCTGCCTTGGAATATTTGTCCTTGCTGTTGCCACTTCCTGAAAAGTCTCTCTAGATCTTTTCATAGTGCTTTCTTCTTGTCATTTAGTCTCAGTTCATGTGTCTTCTCAAGGAAGACTTTTTCCTAACCTCTGTCACTCTACCAGATCACACAGTATTATTTTATCACTTACTTGTTTGTGTACTGTCTACTTCTGCTACCCACCAAACCTAATGTCTAACCCAGACTACCTCTTTCTCTATCAGCAATTTCTATATCAAACCAGAAACATGGGCTCCTCCCCTCCCTCACCCTTAAGTCCAATCAATCAATAAATCTCACTAGAACAACTTGATTTAGCCAGTCAGCCATCCACCTGCACTGTCACCTGTTTACCTGGAACTCCCACAAAAGCCTCCTCAGGGTTCCCCTTACCTTCTCCTGCTTCAACCCAAGACACAGCTGTATTGGATGACATTTTTTTTTAATGGAAAGATGATCATTTCCCAATTTGAAGCCATTCAGTGGCTTCCTATTGTACTTAGAATAAAGTATGCAAGGATTAGGGATGTGGTTGGCTCTCAATGTATTCTTACAGAGTGAAAAGGATGGATGGATGGGTGGATAGATGGATGGATGGATTGACAAACTGATAAAATAAGTAATAGCTTTAAATCTATATTAAAGAACAGTATGAAATTCCATTTAAAGTTTTGCCCACCAAGCTTTATCTACAAAAAAGCTCCTAACCCACAGTTCAGAATTCAAAGTGTCTGACAAATTTCAGGGCATGAATCCCTTTTCAGAACACTCCTTGCAACTGGCAGTAAATCTCTCTGAGAGTATACATTCAAGTTTACAAAAGTACAAGGTGTAACTATAAAGCAGTTTTCTGAAGCTGCTAAGGAAAATTAGAGAGAAATGATCAAAAATGGCCAATTCTTGATCTTCACAGTGCTTCTGAAATTTAGAACAACATTTAAATTGGAACACCAACCAGCCAGTGGAGTGGCTCAAGTGGTAGAGCACCTGTCTAGCAAGCTCAAGAGCCTGAGTTCAATCCCCAGTATTGCAAAACAGCAACAAAAAATAATAATAAATGAATTTGGAACACAAAACTTTAGAAAGCAAACATGAAACCTACCTAGAAGGATGATTTAAACTAGATGCTATACTTTCTACATACTAGGCATCTTCTCTCTACCAACATAGAATACTCTGTATGTATACTTTATCCTCTACCTTGAGGGCAGAACAGGTTCCATAACCTTGGCACTTGGCTTCAAACAAAAGTGATGTACTTAGTAAAATGGACATTTTGGATAACAGCTTCAAAGGCCAGAGTATGTGTTAGTGAAAGAGTGAAACTGGAAACAAATTCTGTTTGCTGGATTTTTCTGAACAGCATGGCCTTCCAGGGGTGTCTAAACTCCACAGCTCAGAAACCATGAGAAAAATGAAGAAAATCTGTATTCACCTGGTATCACTGTTCTGTCTTGCCCAGGCAACTCACGAGCCAAGTTAGTTTCACTTGAATAGTTTTGGTTGACTCACACAGAATTCGCTTTCATCTCAGAGTAAATCTGAGTGTCAGCATATTTAATCGTATTAAAACCTGACCCATATTATGCTTAGTCCTTTATCCAGAGGATTAGAAAAAGCAGAATATTACTAATGAATGTAATTATAACAAAAAAGGAGTAACTTTCCAGTGAAAAAGAAACAAGTCAATGAGTGATTTAATTTGTGAGATGCTTTACCAATAACCTGAATAATTAACAGATTCCATTTTATATCTGTTAATGTAGAGGTAATATAGAGTTCATGAAAGTTTTGCCTTTATATTTTTTCCTAAGTGGAACTTTGCTATTTAGTAACATCTATTTGGTGTGGACTTTACATATTTGTATGTGTGCCTGGATCAAAAATGTACACAGTTGAACCTAAGACAAATCTTTTCTTCTCTCCCTTCTCAACAGTCTTTTAGGAGGTATTAAAAAATAAAATAAATTTGACAGGCCTGGTTTTAAGCTCATCACAATGCTTCCTAGCTGGATAAATGATTCAATCTCTCAGTTCTTCATAGTTTATTCCTTTTTTCAAAATTTTTTTGGTGGACCTGGTGTTTGCACTCAGGGCTTTGCACCTGCAAAGCAAGTGCTCTACCACTTGGGCCACACCTCAGCCTCAGTTTATTCCTTTATAAAATGAGAACATATATCCCCAAGCTCTCAGCATTGGTTTAAGGCTCAGAAGGGCCATATTTGAAGCTCTCATATTCATAAACTTTCAGACTGACTGAATAAAGCAATCCCACAATCTGAAATACCTAACTGCCTCTGGATCTATTTGGGATTCATGAGAGTTATGCTCTGTGTCCTTTAAATCCCACTACTTAGGAAAACCCTGAATCAGCAAGATGTGTCTGGCAGCTTACCTCTGCAGCATACCTCACCCCATCTATTATGTGCTCAGAGCCATGATCGTCAGCGGAGCCCCAGTGAAGGTGGAACTGTCGCAATCTGTAGCTTCCAGTGAGAGGACCCCCACGCAGAACTAAACACCAACACATTTTAAACAGTTAGCAGGAAAAATATTTATACATCGTGCCACAATCCTCATCTCTCTGAAATACATATCAACGCCCTCCAAGGAGATTTTTACAAGTGTCACTGTTGGCTGACAGGGATCTTATTTTAGGTATATGTAAAGTGAAAGCAAAACACTTAAAAAGTTTAGAAACTACACAATGCAAATTTTTATGGAACACCTGGGAAACCACAATAGACAAGCAGAAAGTAGAAGAGATTAGGATTTCTGAAATGTAAAAATATTGTTCTTCTCCAGACATGGTGGAGCATGCCTAAAATCCAAGCTACAAGGGAGTGGAAATGGAGGATCATTGTCTGAGGTCAGCCCCAGGCAAATTCATGAGACCCTGAAAAAAAAACAAAAAAGACTGAGATGTAGTTCAAGTGGTAGAGCACTTGCTTAGTAAGCACAAGGCCATGAGTTCAAACCCCACTACCACCAAAAAAAATGTTCTATTTAACCAAAGATAAACTAGTCTCTCTGAATAAGGATATGACATACAAGGAGGTTCGGTTTGTATTTGCCACAGCAACACAGCATCATGGTTTGGCATACGCTTCTGCAACTGAAGACAGAGACTTGTACTCTCTGTCACTAACTTTGTGATCTTGGACAAATTTTAACTTCCAAGCTTCAGCTTCCTCATCTAAAAACTGGAGATAGTAATGAAACCATCCTAATGTCAGAAAATAAAAGGAAAATTGAATTCAAGGCATTTATCACTGCCCAGCACACAGTACTGTGAATATGTGGCTTATTATTATTATCTTATTATTGTTAAAGATACACCCTTACAAATGGGTGTATCTTCTGTACTTAAATTCTATATTTTTGGGAAATGTGAAATTGAGGACAAAATTAACTCTTTTTTAAAACTCCATCATGTCTTTGTCACATCGGCAAGATACATTTTAGAACTTTCCCTCAACAAATCTTATCTCAAAAAGTATAATAATAGAATCATATCTTAAGTATATAGAAAAGCTTTTAATAGGAAACATGGTACTAAGTTGAGCACGGTGGTGGCACATGCCTGTAACCCCAGCACTCAGGAGGCTGAGACAGGAGGGTTTTGAGTTCAAGGCTTGCCTAGGTGATGTAGTGAGATCATGTCTCAAAAACAAAAAAGAAAGAAAGAAAAGAAAAAAGGAGGGAGGCAAAAAGAAAACACAGTTCTGAACTATCTCTTGCTCATCCATCATCATCAGGCATGTTTAACACAGAGAGAAGAAGGGAAGCAGTAGATGGTGAATACACATAAGCACAACTAAGCGTCCATCAACAACCAATAGCAGTGCTGGATTGGTGAGGTACAGACTTAACAACAGTTTGATTTAAATTACTCTCCTCTTCAGAGATGTCATATTTATATTGTCTCAAATTTTTTCAAATAATCCACCTTATAGAAGAAGCATTTGGATCCAGAATTCTTTACAATACATAAAAGTATTATTTTCAAAGCACTGTGAAAAGAGCCTCTTAGATTAGACTCAAAGGCTCACTCTCTTATTACTCTGTTAAAAATAGAATAATTTTACTATTTCTCCTTTCACTGGGCAGCCTTCATGAGGGTAGAGACTTTAGTTTCCTGCTGTCCCTGTCACCTGACATAGTAACTATCAGAGAAAGTGCGCAATTAATATTTGATGAATAAATGAATACAATATTTGATTTTCCTTTAAACAGTTTCCATGTGATTTGACATACTTGAACTTAAAAGGCATGTTTTCATAAGTGGCCCCAGTAGTCTGTACATATTACATAGTGATTAAGGACGGAAGGAATGGCATTCCAAAGGAAATCAATGGCTCAATTGTCCTTTTTTTCCCCAGCTATTGCATAATAAAACCTGAGCTGAATGATAAAGTCATTCCTTCACTGATAAAAAAAACAGATTAGAAATCTTGAGTAATCAATGTGGAATTGACTTTGGGAGAAGATGCAAGCAAGCTGGCTCTGGAGAAAGAAAGTGATACAAAAAATACACATCATTAGGGAGACATCCAAGAATAATGGATGCTCTCTGGAAAGCCTGCTCTTAGTCTAAGTTTTAAAGTCAGATTAGCACAGCTCTGCTGAGTTAAGCAGCAAAAACTGCCTTCCACATTATCTATTTTGATTTCATATTTGAATGTTTCAAATAAAATATCCAACTGGAATTATGATTAGCAAACACTTGATGTGGAGACCATTCTCCTGGTGCTGTGCTTTCCTTCAGAAATGCAGATTGGCAAAAGTTAAAATATCAAGGTTTATTTAACACTGACCTTGAGACAGTCTAAAATAAAATAGCTAAACTATGGTATAAAATTAACAATGACAGGTAGTGGGGAAGAGGGAGGGAGCGGGGAGCAGGGGAGAGAAATGGCCCAAACAATGTAAGCACATATGAATAAATGAATAAAAAAATAAAATAAATTAAATTAAAAATAATTTTTTTTAAATGGGGTTTTCTTCTGACTTTTGAGACAGGGTTTTGCTATGTTGCCAGACTGGCCTTGAACTCATGATCCTCCTGCCTCAGCCTCCCAAGTGCTGGGACAACAGGGACATGTCACCACTCCAAGCAACAATAATTACTTATGATAACAATAATTTTGTGTTTTGTATATGCTAGGCAAATGCACTACTACTTGAGTTATGCCCTTAGTCCATGATGTTGCATTTTTAATTGTGAAATTGTTTATCCTACTCCGTACTAGTAAGCAAATAAGCTATTATCTCCCTTTTATGCTTAAAAATAAGTAATTGGTTCTCCAAAGTTACACTTGGCATATATAATACATTTACTTTTACATTTATAATTTTTTAAATCTACTCCAATTAATACATTCATATTAAGAATACACAGAGATTAAGAAATCAGAGTTAGATGCCCTAACTCGGGAGCCTTCTGCTCAGTGGAAAAGCAAAAATGCCAGCCTGGCAGTTACAACTGCATGTGGAGTTTCTTGGATGGGGCAGATCTAAGATGCCAGGGGAGTCACAGCAGGGGTAGCAGGACCAGTCAGGTGAGGTTCTCAGGAAAGTGAGATCCTGAGTCCAGAAAGACAAGTAGCTTGGGCAATGACAGCCGTCTTTCCTCATAAATTCCTGTTTCCTTCATCAGACAACTGTTTCTTATATCTAGTAGGAATCCTTCCTAAAGAATTTCATATTTATCTGTTCCCCCTTATAAAGGACTACTAAAAATCCAAAGGGTGGCTGTCTGCAGATTAACCATGGGGGTGTGTGTCTGCCCAGCAAAGTTCTCCTGGGACAATGAGGAAGATTTCATGCCTGTGTTTTGTTAATTTTGATCAAGAAGAGCTTCTTTATGAAATAGAAACTGTTCTGTTCAAATTGAAGTGGTTTGCTACAGAAAGTATCTTTGTGTTTTTTACAGTTTGTTGAAAAGAATTATTGGCAACAATTTATTTAACTATGGTCATTTCTTCTTTTGGATTGATTTAATCCCTAAATCATCATGAAACAATTCTTTTCAGTTTATCTTGAGGAAAAGAAAGAATAAGAATTGTGACATATATTTATATAGTTTATGTCTCAGAAAAGTACAAAGTACTTTCTGGACATTTTCAATTAATCCTGGAAATTTCATTATGATCTAGATAGGAATGAAATCTCCATGTAAGGGAGACAGCACACACTAGCAATTGTAGAAATGGTGCCAAATCCAGAAACACAAGCAAATTTATTTCATTGATTACCCTAAAGGTAGAGGGAACATATGAAGGAGAATGAAAAAGAGGGAGGGAGGAGAGAGAGAACCTGGATTATCACAGATTGAATTAGACTAGGAATTTTTTTCACTAAGAATGCCTACATTAATACAGAAAAGGCAAGGGCTGGGAATGGTAATGCTTGCCTGATTTTCCAAATACTTGGGAGATGGAAGCAGGAGGATCATGGTCTGAGGCCAGGTGGGGCAAAAGCATGAGACCTCACCTGAAAAACAAACTAAAAGCAGAAGAACTGGGGACATGGCTCAAGTGGTAGAGTTTGCAAGACCCCGAGTTCAATCCTCACTACAAGAAAAAAGGAAGGAAGAAAGGGAGGGAGGGGAGAGGGAGGAAGGAAGGAGAGAGAGTGAGACAGAAGAAAGGAAAGAGAGAGAAAGGAAGAAAGAAAAAAAAACCTTGAAGTTTTAGATGAAGTAAAATCTCATCATTTCTTATTCAAAAACTAAAGGGGGTGGCCTCGGTTTTTTGTTTGATGTACTATAAACAGTATCAAACTACAAGCATGGGTTGTATAAGCTTTACTTAGAAACCTTGGACTACTTTTGCAAGGTACCCATACAGTCAGCCACATCTATTAACACAGATCCACAAAACTAAGGACCTAGAGGAAATATCATTGAATATATATGAAACAGGTTTCCCTTTTCCTCCCCCAAAAGCTGGAAATATCACTATTTTTTCTCTATGCATCTTTATAATGCCCTAAAGAAATGTATGACTCTGATAAATTTAACAAATATAAAGAATAAATATAGTATATTATGAGCTCCATAATAAATATCAATTCATAACTAAATAGTTAAATTTTTAAATCCTTAATTGGAAGAGAGATTTCACATTTTTGACTCTATTTTTTCACAAATAAACATGATCTTAATATTAGACAAAGGTAAAAATAATTTTCCAGAAGCCTTAAAAATATTCCAAGATATGATTCTCTCTAATCTTTTCTCCCATCCAATTTCTAGATGTTATATCTTGGGTAGAATCTATGCTTGGGTAGTAGATATGCTTGAAGAAGTATTAAATGTTCACTTTTAAGAAAATACTTTTTTCTTCTTCATTTAGCTAAAAACTAACAAATGAGCTAAAGTTTTATTTGGTAGAGCCATTATTTATGCAAAAATATGTCCCAAGAACAAATCAAACAAAACTTTTATTACAAGTTCTAGCAAAGTACTAACAAGCGTGTTTCAAATATTTACTTGTTTAAAAAAATTAAGTATCTACTCTCCTTCCCTATCAAATGTCCATTATTAGGAGAATAGTGTATAAATTATTATATAAGAATAGCTGATAAAATTCATCTCTTTATACATTTTAACCTATAAAGATATCCACGAAATATTTTCAAATAGGGAAAACTTTCAGAGTAATATAGCATTAGTTCAAAGTTTTTTAAAAAGGAAAATGTAAAACAGTATGATATGTGTGTCTATGCATGGCTATGTATTTAAATATTATGGAAGAACATAGCTTTGGTTATGTGGTGGAGACTTAATTTTTATTATACATTTCTGTATTTTTTGTTTACTATAAGTGGATGTTACTATTCAATTAAAATAAGTGATTATGGTACTTAAAAAAACAAACCTTTTTCTGTTAAAATGTGTTCTAATCAGCATTATAGGTTTGCAAGTAAATAGTAAAATAATTACAACTAAAACTTTCCAGAAACAGATTCTAAGATTATGAAATACTATCAAACTTTAATATTTTCACAGTGATAAATGCTAAGTGAAATTATAATAAGCTGAGACCAATTTTTTTAAATGTCATGCAACACACCCTTATCTAAATACTCCTTTGTATCATTTTAAGATAACATTCATTATCTTAAGATTCAACTACATGACAGGATATTTCAATTCACATGAATAAAAATAACATGATTCAATCAGCAAATTTCAGGTCTAGCATAAATAAAAAATGAAAGATAAGATCGTAAAGTCCAACCATCCAAATTCTCCCCTCTGACCAAATAAGTAAATAAATCAAGCCAACCTGATTTGTCCTCTGTGTCGTCAAAGTCAACCTTGAAGGAATGGCCACTATTGCTGATGATCTTAGCAGAGGTGGGGTCATACTTGATGTTAAGAGGTCGGAGTGAAGAGTCATATTTCACTTCTTTGGTTTTAATTTCAATGGGAGATTGCTGATCACCATCAGCAATGGGGAAAAGTTCATTCCAATGAATTGGACCTGAAATGCATAGGACCAAATGAAAAGGACTAAGTAAGTTCTTTCACTTGATCTTAGCCGAAAGGCCAAGAAGTGATTAAGTAAGTTATTTTGTTCAAAAAACACTTGTTAAGTGCAATGTACTGTATCTGGCTGAGACAGAAAAAAATAAGGATCAATAAAATAAGGTCCTCATTCTCAGGACCTTAGCATCTAATTTTTTTTAACAAAACTATTTGTTTTTATTATGAGTATGGAAAACACTTGATTTACCTGAAATCATTTTCAGAATTAAACTAGCCTTCATAGACAATGATCATATAAATTTTATAAAGTACTTTCCAAAGGTACTCATCTACCAAACTAAAAACAACAGTGCAATTCATCATAGAAAACAAAGAGATTCAGTCTCAGATCCAAGAATGTGCTTTGTTTGCTCCAGAGGTCAAGTTTACAGGGTTGGGAGAATCAAAAGAACTGAGAAAGCTAGGAATCAAAGAAAGGGTGTCATTTTAAAGATGCTATCCTCACTACTTCTTTCTCTTATTTTTCCACTCACTGGTATCTTCTGGTGTCAGTCAGGCCCCAACTCAATTACCTATGATGTACAATTGACATACATCTTTCACATACAGTGAGCCAAATAAAATGGTTATCCCATGTCAGGAAATGCAGTCTTGTGAATCTTCTACAGCAGAGTCAGGTTGCAATTTATTTCTCTCCTTCTATACTTCAGAAGGTCCTTCAGGAGTTGTTCTGCCAATGTGACATTTGAGTTCAAATACAAGGGACAACTGTCATCTTGATTTCTATGCAAAAAGTCAAAACTGCATCAACTTTACAAATCGGATCTTCTACGTAAATGGAAGTGAGCCAATATGCTGACAGTTCCCTTGTCTATACTCTTCATTTCTCTGGATGATTCTATTCAAGTTCTGTCTCAAAACCAACAGCAAGTTTGCAGCTTCAAGTAAGCCCCAATTCATTCTACAAGTGTGAATCACTTTACAGGTTGGAGGCTGTTATTTTCTCCTCTCCAGTATGCCTGCAATTTTCACAGCTATCCCCAGGTGAGTGGAGCACGGGGCTACTGACTAAGCTTGTCCTTACTTTGCTAACCACTTTTACTCTAAAACACCAAGTACTAATTAGAGCAGTGTAGCATGGCAATTATTAAACATTTGTTACTAACGCAGAATATTTTTAATGAAACTAGAATCAGCTTTAAAGAAATGCAGTATTTCGCGGTCATCAACAACTTTAACCTCTAAATCTAATGCTGCTTTTTCCTCTTCATTCATGTAAAGAACAAAGCATATATTATTTCCTTCACGTATACTTCCTGTACAAAAAGTCATACACGAACATAACTTACACACTCAACTTAAAAGGTGTCCATTTGTGTATCAGAAACAGACTTCAAAACAATTTGAGCATCAAGTCCTTAGAAAATATTACAGAAAAGGCATTGAATTTCCTTATTTATTAAATACTTTTATTTGCCTTTCTGAGTACTCTGTGTAGAAAAGCTTTCTACTTCACTGACATCAAGTATGAGTTGATCTAATGAGAATCAATTCCAAACGTGCAGTATGTGTGTCACAACATGCTGGTGACTCTTAGAATCAGCAAAGAGCTTCTTTCTCCTAATTCTCTTCCTTTTCTATTCCCAGTCCTTTGTAACTAGAACTATTTTTAGAGAGTCAAACCAAAATAAAATAAAACTACTTTGTATCAATTATTCAATATTATCTACTAACCACTATAATTGGGTCATTTCCCTGCCTCTTAAAGAGCCCACTCTTTTTTGTAAATTTTCCAGAACACCCAGCTTCAACCCATCTAAACATTGTTTCAAGCAGAGATATGTTCCTCAGTAGTTTCAGAAACTTTGACACTCAGCCAAAAGGCCAAGAAGCAATGGTTTCAGAAACTTGACTATCTACAGTGATATGTAGTTTTCAGTGATGTCACAAGGTCTAATCCAAATCAGTAAAATGCTTAAGGGTAGTGAAGGTGCTTGTGAAGGTGGTCCGCTTTCCAGGGTCCACCTCTTAATGTTCTGTTTGATCAGTTCTGCTAGCCCCACTTCAGGTTTCCTTTAATCTGCTCAGTCACTGGTTTTTCCAATAAAGCAATAAAACTTGCCTCATCAGGATACAACACATTCCTTGTAGGATTTTACCAACATTGATCTATACCAAGCTATGGTCCTCAGAAAATTATGGCAGCTGCAAGAAAGGAATGGTCCTACAACACCTAGATAAAATACAAAATGACTCCTTGTTACCACCTTTATAAGATTAATTTTTTTAAATTTCTGAAGATAAGTTTCATTGTAACCAGTATTTTCTAACCTATTAAAGTATTATCAATACCCATTAGTTAAAATACCTGTCTTCCTAACCACAACGAGGACCCTATTAGCACCTAATAGCTATTAAATAACAATGGTAAAAATGATTCCATAAGAGGGGGAAATAAAATTTGTTTTCTGATGTTTGTTTTTCCAAAACATAAATTATAAATTAGGGCTGGTGGAGTGGCTCAAGTGGTAGAGTGCCTGCCTAGCTAGAGTGAGGCCCTGAGTTCAAGCCCCAGTACCGCAAAAATAAATAAATTGCAAAATGTAAAACTATAATTGTAGCTCAGTCATAAAGAAACCCATCTAAGTTATACCTTTCATTATTAAAGTTCTAGATTTCATCTATTGCCATTTTAAACTAACATGGTAATATTTATAACCTCAAATAAGCTACGACTAGAAATGGAGCTTTTCTGTTTCTTTGTGACAATAAACTTTGTATAAAATCCTACCATACAGTTCTCTTCAATAGTGTCCATGCTGACTGAAGTTTTTAATTATCATTGTTCTCAGGCCCCCTTTGACAGTTACCAACTATACGGTTTTCTTGGCGTTACTTTGCAATTATTTTGAATAATCATTACTTGAAACGGTCAATTCAACTTAACATACAAACAAGAAAAATGTTTTACTTGGGATAATTTAAGATATACAAGAAGAAAAGTACATGTGTCATTATTGTCACTCCCATCAATAAATGCATTTTAACACTGTTACAATTTCACTAATCCTTTGCTAATCCTCACATCTCTGCCAGGATAATTGTGGAAGGAGAGCGAGAAAGAGTGGAGAAGCCCAAAACGTAACTTCATTTCTCAGAAAGAACCTAAAATCTCATTACAGAAGCCAAAAAGTAGCAGCTGTCAACCACATGCAATTGCTGCCATTAAGAAATTTGCAATATTTTTCTTGCCCGAAAGCCAACTTAATCTTCATTGTCAATATGCCAGTTATTAAGATTGCTTAGACATCTTTTCAAAGATTTTCCATGATTTGTTTCTTCGTGACTACACGTCCGAAAGTGAACTTATTATCCTCATTTCATTAAAATATATCATTTAACTTCTAATCTCCAATGCTTTAATTGATAAGCGGCTGTGACTAGGAAAAGTTCTAGGCTTTTCAATTGAAGATGAACGAACGTGTACAGATTTGGGGGCCTGGGGACTCCAGACAGAGCTACCGCAAACCAACAGTCACCCAGTACCACACCCGCCAAAGAGCTTCCCAGTATACCCGGGACTCAGCCTGCGCTCTGCTTCCTGCATTCGGCTCCAGGGAGTGGTGCTCAGTTTAAAGAGGAACAGAAAAGTTTCTTGCAAGTGTGAGATCAGCCGTGTGTGGTCTGCGGGCGCCAGGCCGGGCGCTGGGCCAGTCCCCCGGGCGCCCCCTGCGCACAGCCCCCTGGGGTCAGTGAAAGGCGCTCACCGTTGTGCTCGCCGTATCCCCAGCTGAGCCTCGCCATGGTCCCTCGCGGAGGAAGGTGTGGAAGATGTGTCTGGGCTGCAGGGGAGGGAGGGAGGGAGCTGCACGGGCTCGGGCGGGAGCGGGCGGAGGGCGGGACCGCCCGGCGCAGCCCGCAGAAGCTGGAGCCCTGGAACCCCAGGGCCGGGCGCTCCCGACTTCGTCCTGCAGGGGGCAGTGACGTGAGGAGAAGGCTCCCGAGCGCTGGGAACCCATGAGCTCCGAGGAGTCCCGCGGAGCCAGCCTTCTCTTAGCTTGCTCTGGCAATGGGAGTGTGCGCTAGGGAGACACGCATACACACAGAGGAGGGTTTTTCCAGAGCGGATTTCTTACCTTCCGGGAAGTTCTCACTCTGGAGACGAAAGGTACGGAGAAGGCGATCTTAGAAATGAGTCACCCATCCTGGAACTGCCAGGATGGGAACTGGGAAATGGGGACCCCGGTGAAGTTGTGAAGAAGTTGGTGTGAGGGCTGACTACAAATGCAAAACAATAATGGCAACGGGAATAACCGCTACTTAAAAATAACAAGTACTGCTTAAGAAGGGCTTTTTGCCATGGGCCAGGGCCACATTTTTTTCCATGAGATACTATCACCATTCCCTTGAGAAGCTATTATATGCATACCCTAACTGGGAAGCTAGAAAATGAGTGAGTCTTAAGTGATACTAAGTGACTCTGGTCACACAGCTAATTGGGGGCGCTCTCAAAGAGGAACCAAGCCTCTGCCCTCGGCTGGCTCCATCGCCTCACTTCAGCACCTTACAGACTTCTGGCTGCAGTGGGGAAGCCAAACCTGTGGGCCCATACTTAGTCCAAACTTCTATTGGCCTCTCACCTCGCAAGAAGGAAGGTTTTCAGGCCATTTTTCCATGGATGCTTGGTAGGCTCCTGCCTCAGGACTGAAGGCAGAAGAGGCTGTAGAGCCTTGGCTTTCTGTCCTGGAACTGTGGGTGTTATGCATTGTCCCGTGAAAAGTAAACAACTATGTGACCCACCAGGATTATAATTACTGTTCTAGTTGCCTAAGAGCTTGAAATTTGAAATTGTCCAGTGTTATTTATGGGCAAGCTAATGAGAAGAGCTTCTTAAGAGGGTAGAGCCTTCCATTAAAATACATGATTGTTAAGATGTCATCTCTTTTATTCTCTGCTATCCACAGCCCTGGAGAGACTCTTGGTAGTCATTAACTCATTGTTTAGGCACCACTAAATAAGAATCCATGTGAACCTTTAGATAATATTTAATACCCCATATTGCAGCCTGTCCACCCTTCTGTTTGTGTAGTTCTTTAGTGAGGCTAGAAAGCTATACTAACAAGTTTTCAATACAGTGTTGAATACAATAAACTTGATGCTCCTCTTGAATCTAAGGGAAGCCCTAGATTTCTTCAGCGTTTTTTTTCCCCATATTTTCTGATAATATTGGGTTCAGTTTCATGAAGAATAGTGTGGAAGCCAAATTTTTAGGAATAAAGACTAATTTAGATTCACTTTTATCACAAAAGAATATCTACAGCCTTCCCTCAATATCCACAAGGGATTGATCTGAGGACCCTCTGCAGATATCAAATTCCAAAGAAGCTCAAGTGCCGTATATGAAATGGTGTTTTATTTACACATAACCTACATACTTCCTCTCTCATACTTTTCTTCATTTCTAGATTACTTGCAACTCCTAATGCAATGTAAATGCTTTGTAACTAGTTGCTAGACTGTATTGTTTAGGACATAATGATAAAAAATAGTCTTCACATATATGGTATAGATACAGTTATTTTGAATAATTTTGATTCAAGTTTGGTTGAATCCACAGATGTTGAACCCACTGATCAAGAGATCTGACCATATATTTGTCATGTGTGTGTCTATGTTAGATGCATGTCTATGTAAGAACACTGGCAGGGAAAGTTATTTCAACTACTGGAACAGTGACAGAGGTAGTTGAAACTCTAAAGTCCATGAACCACTTTCTCCCAGCATCCTTGTCTCAGGTGAACAACTTCTCTGTGAGGAACCCCGTAACTCATGTGCATTAACTCAAATGACTCAGCACATCAAAGTGAATGATGCTCTAAGAATCAGTCTTGGTACCCAATAGTAGTTGAATGAACGAATAAGTGAATGAATGAGCCAAAAATTTAGAAAAAGTTCTGATGGGCTACTTTCAAATTCTCCTCAAATTATTGCTTTTATTGTTTGGGTACACAGTTCCCCCTGGTTTAAACACACCATCCACTTTTCCAAAAAATAATAGAAACACTGAAATTGCCACTCATAGGAAACTGGCCAGATAATCTGTTGAGCATCCACACAGTGGACTAAATCCAGCCCAAAAAGAATGAAGAGGCCAGGTGCCAGTGGCTCCCACCTGTATCATAGCTATTTGAGGAGGCAGAAATCAGGAGCACTGCAGTTTGAAACTGGCCTGGGCAAATAGTTCGAGAGACCTTATCTCACAAATACCAACACAAAACAGGGCTGATTAATTTTGGGTGAATTTAATGAACCAATAAAGAAATGCACAAGGGAACTAAACAGAACTTTCTCAAAAGAAGAAATTCAAATGGCCAAAAAACACATGAAAAAAATGCTTACCATCTCTAGCCCATTAAGGAAAAATGGAATCAAACCACACGAAGATTCCACTCCACCTCTGTTAGACAGAATAGCACTCATTAGAAACACTACCACCAACAGGTTGTTGTGAGGGATTGTGGGGAAAAAGGACCCCTTATACACTGCTGGTGGGAATGCAAAAACTAGTACAACCACTCTTGGAAAAAAATTTGAGGCTTCTTAAAAAATCTAAAACATAGATCTGGCAATATGATGCCAGCAATACCAGCTCTTGGGGATATACCCAAAAGGAATAGTTGACAAGCCCGTTACTCCAGAGGCAACTTGGTGACCCATGTTTATTGCCAGCAACTACTTACAATAGCCAAGTTATTGAAAACAACATGATTCCCACTATCGATTGAATGGATCAAGAAAATGTGGTATTTATACCAGAATGGAATACTACTCAGCCATGAAGAAGAATGACAATCTTATCATTGTAGGTAAATAGATCGGTAAATGAGAATTCATCCTTGAGCCAGAGGTTAGCCAGGCCCAGAGACCAAAAAATCATATGTTCTCTCCCCTCATAGCGGACTTTTAGCTCAAGGGCAAAACACAAGGGGATTGGACTTTGATCACATGATCGAGGGAGGCTATAGAGGATAGGCAAGAAACCCAAAAAAAAAAACAAATAGCATTTGTTGCTCCAATGCAAAGGAACATAATGCAGGAAAACTTTAAATGACAGAAGCCATAGGGAGAAGGGACCAGGAAACTAGAACAAGGTTAGTTTGAGAAGAATTAATTTAGAAAGTAACACACATGCACAGGAAATCAATGTGAGTACTCCCTGTATAGGTGTCCTTATTTCAACTAGCAAAAACCCTTGGTCCTTCCTATTATTGCTTATACTCTCTCTTCAACAAAATTAGAGATAAAGGCAGAATAGTTTCTGCCTGGTAGTGAGGGAATGGGAGGGAGACGGAGAAGGTGGGAAGAAGGGCGGGGGCGTGGGGTGGGGGAAGCAGGGAGAAATGACCCAAACATTGTATGCACATATGAATAAATGAAAAAAAAACAGAGCTGATGGAGTGGCTCAAGTGGTAGTGTGCCTACCTAGCAAGTATGAGGCCCTGAGTTCAAATCTCAGTATAGAAAAAAAAGAGAAGGAAAAGGCTGGTTCTCGTGGTTCACACCTACAATCCCAGCTATTTGGGAGGCAGAGATTCAGAGGGCTGAGGTTTGAGGCCAGCCCAGGCAAAAAGTTAGCAAGACCACATCTCAATCAACAAAAATTTGCTAAAAGCCAAAGTTCAATTCAAACAGAAGCAAAATTCATTATAAATTGAGTTGAAATATAATCATAAGAAAAAAATAACATTTTAATGCAGTACTCTGGCTGTGTATCCTTAGTAGAGAATATATTAAGACCAACTGTAAAAAAAGAAAAATCTCAAACTTTTCTAGCACGCTTGTTTTTTAACAGGCATGTTGTTTTTGTTTTTGTTTTTACTATATTTTAAGATAGAACAAATGAACAAATATGTTGATAATCTTCAGAATTGTTATGTACATTATAATTTATATAAAAATATATAATGACTGAAGCTAAGAAAGAACCTGTGGGCTGGGTATGGTGGCACACACCTGAAATTCCAGCTACTAATAAGGCAGAAATAGGATGATGACACACAGTCTGAGACTAGACCAGGCAAACATTAGGGTTGTGAGACTCTATCTGAAAAACGATTTAAAAACAAAAGGACTTTGGTTGTGGTACAAGGTCCTGAGTTCAATCCTTAGAACTGCATCCCCACCCCAAAAAAAAAACCCACAACAAAATAAGAAAGAAAAAAGAAAACACACAACAATGGGATTGGACTATGAGCACATGATAAAAGCGAGCACACACAAGGAAGGGGTGAGGATAGGTAAGACACCTAAAAAATTAGCTAGCACTTGTTGCCCTTAACGCAGAGAAACTAAAGCAGATACCTTAAAAGCAACTGAGGCCAAGAGGAAAAGGGGAACAGGAACTAGAGAAAAGGTTAGATCAAAAAGAATTAGCCTAGAAGGTAACACCCACGCACAGGAAATCAATGTGAGTCAATGCCCTGTATAGCTATCCTTATCTCAACCAGCAAAAACCCTTGTTCCTTCCTATTATTGCTTATACTCTCTCTACAACAAAATTAGAAATAAGGGCAAAATAGTTTCTGCTGGGTATTGAGGGGGGGAGAGGGAGGGGGCGGAGTGGGTGGTAAGGGAGGGGGTGGGGGCAGGGGGGAGAAATGAATCAAGCCTTGTATGCACATATGAATAATAAAAGAAAAAAAAAAAAGGACTTTGGGTGTGGTACAAGGCCCTGAGTTCAATCCCTAGAACTGCATCCCCCACCCCCCCAAAAAAAAAACCACAACAAAATAAGAAAGAAAAAAGAA